TATCCCCTGTGTGCCTTGTCGACTCAGTTATCTTTATTTTTCTGGAAGATATGAATTTTTAAACATTGGGGAAAAGAGGCTTCAACGCAGGTAACACGGCAATTTTAAGATAGGATTGTAAAACAATTATTCTTTAAAATCTAAGAAAAATAAAATTAAAGGAAATTGCACTGTAGTCTCGCATTTTTAATTTTTTAAAATATGCTTTGCTATACATTTAGCTTTAAAAAAAAACTGTATATACATATATTTCTTGTCTCTTACCCTTTGTATTAAAATCGTGTGTCTGATTGAGATACGGTTTTTTTGTAGAAATTAATTTACAATTGCTAATTTATTAGTGGCAAAAGTATGCTTGTATAACCACTACCTTACACGTCGCGAGTTCACCGAACACTGGTGACACTATCAAATCTCATAATATACGATGTCATAAAAACAAATTGTAAAGATCATGAGAAATTTAGTCAACTATTATGAAATGATTCATACTCAAGTTATCAAATTAACAACTTTAACAGTGTCATACTGATGCTCGTTACGGATATCTGTTTATATACGTGTTCTTTTTGTTAAAATAAAAAGCAAGTTACAAATTCAGCAGAGGATTATTCGGATTTAAAATCTTAATTTTTATATTTAAAAATATTTAAATAACGTTTCCTAAAATACTCTGTCAGTTTAAAATAAGTATATAAACGTTAATGTAAAAAATTTTATGTAAAGTGTCTAATAAATCGTATTGTATACATATTTTCTTGTATATTAAAAGAATATTTGAAGACATATTTAAATATTACTTTTTTAATAACTCACCTTTGACATTAAACCTGTCGATAAAATTACAAATAACGATATATTCTTTGTAACTATAATTATGCGTATTAAGGCGACGAATTATTAATATTACAAATATGTTAAGGTAGTACACTCGCAAATTCAAAATATTGAGAATTTCTTGAAATTGAAACTATATGTTGTACTAGAAGTCGTTGACACGCTTGTGCAATTAGAATGAGATTGACCATCTCAATACTGAGATATAAGCAATTAAAAATTGCATTTTTTATACGTGTCGCCTATACAAAGTTGATAAAACTGTCGCGTTTATTTTTGTAGGGCTTAAACTAGCATTGAGATTTTAATAAAAAACGAGTATGTGATGAAAGGATATGAAACGGATATTATGAAAAAAATTCATAATTTTTTACCATTTAGTTTGGAAAATAGAGCCTTTAAAAAAATATAATTTTCGATTTTTATTGACATATGGAGGCGAGTGAAGGAGGCAGCCAGTCGAGCTGCGTTAGTCTGCGTCTGTCTGAATTAATTTTTTCTGCGTGTGCGTGCGGTCTATGGACAGGCACAACCAAATGTTTTTTCTCACTGGCGGCAATGGGAATATCGCCACCGAGCGCGCGAAAAGACCTAACTTTTGGATGGTATTGTCGCGAGTGTACTACCTTAACATAACTGATTTTGCCATTTTGAAAGAAGACCAAACATTAAACTATAGGTAATACTAATACCTGCAATATTATAAAATATGCTACGTAACCAAATTTTAAGTACATAAAAAGTGATCCGGTAGGTAAATAAACAAATAATAACAGCATTGTTAAACACAGATTTCTATACATACAGCATAGAAATTTGTGATTCTTGAATGATATAAATTCTTGCTAAAATAGATTAAATTTATAATTCTCAAATTTTATAAATACATGATTTAAATATATGTTATAAATAAAAATGCACAGTCGAGAAATGAAATCATGAGGCCTATTTTTTTTAATTGAACTTACATTGTTCACCTTTTCTCTTTTTTTCTCTAACATAGAGAAAAAAAAGAGGAAAGCTGAACCGTGCCAGAAGTTTAGCTAAAAGAACAGGCCTGTGGAGTTAGATGATCCAAAAACTTTTAAACCAGGCAGTAGAATAAATTTTAGATCCATGTTTTTTCTATTTTTTATAACGAAATTTTTATTAAACAACATCAATAATTCGTATTATTAACATTTTATGTACACTCTTATTAATCCATGACAATCTAGTATAAATTAACACAAACAAATAAATAAATAAATAAATAAATAGATAGCGAAAATTAACAACAATCATCACGATCGATATTCCTTTTTCTTCGAAATTCTTCAGCGCAGAGTAACGAAAGTTGGCGAAATAAATGTAATATAAAGAGGCACAAAGTTTTTCACTTCTAGAATTATCATGGACGTTTACAGTACAGGTATATCCTCTTTAGTTTCTTTTTCTGCAGCTTCCTACAATTTTCTTTAGAGCATTGCGTCATCATTTTGTCAAATGCAAAAAGTGTAAGAAATTGCAACTAAAAAGAACAGACCTTGTTTACGGCCTTTTTTTATCACTAAATATCAATTGCCGATGCGCTTTCTAAATCGCTCGGAACAATGTATTGTATAAAGAGATGGCAATGCGTTCATAAGTAATACCCGTAAAGTCATCGTCAGACTATAAATACTTTTTTTTTAATATACGGTAGTAATAATTAATAAATTTTTCACGAACGTTTCTACTTAAATATACATTGTCGTTTTAGTGCACTGTTAACATTTCAGTCTGTAACTATAATAGCGTAGAATCTTATTGATTGGATGCTTAAGGACGTTTCGCGATCGGCGATCCATATCATACTTGAATCAAAACCGATCGCATTTCGTTGCGTGAATTTCGAATGTCCTCCATATTTTTTTCTTATAATAATTGAGATTGAAATTTAAATTTAAAATTACCCTTATTTTTTGAGCACTCTGAGATTTTTCTTTGAAAAGTCGTTTCTCAAGTTGCATTATTTTAAATGCAAAGTTTATAATAATTTTTTTTTTAAGCAAAACGGATAAGTAGATTTTTCAAATTTTATGTAATAATAAATATAAATAATTTGTGCAAAACAAAACCGCTTTGAAACTATACAAAATTTGTATCTCGCAATATCATTATTTTCGATTCAAAAATAATAAGTATAAATTAGAAATTAATATACAATCAAACTCCCTTGGATTGACAGTATTAAAGGGTATTATTTATGCAAAATTTAGCGAATATGATTGTACGTATAAACTGTTAATCAACTTCTTAATCATTTTCAATTTGTGGACGAGACTACCTTTGAGTATGTTTCTTATGCGTAAGTTTTTGTAATTTCGCTTTCAATCCGTGCGGATTTAATTTTACTCTCACGACGTCAGATTTGCTTTCGAACTTTTTGCGAACTTCCTCCATTCGTTCCTTTCGTATTCGCAGCTGCTCCCTCTTCCAGATATCCTGAAAAAAATGCGATCCGTCATATATAATTTGCTCGCTCAGCAATTTCGAACACTGTGAATTAATGATATGTACCTTAAAGTCCCGGCAGAAACCGAGCCACAGATTGAAGAAATCGTAAGGTTCTGCAGTTTCCAACGTGGAGCCTTTAGGAATAAACTGATAAAACTTCATCACAGCTTTGAATTTGTTTTTAGCCTCCAGTAGATCTTCTTTCTCGCTTGCCAATTCGGTATTCGCCTTCTTCACAAAGGAGTCTACTTTCTTTTTGAATATTTTGGACGTAGATGGATCCGCTTCTACGATTGTACTACACATTTGTGCACATGCTGAAACAATTTAATTTCTTGTTCTATCTTGTTTATTTACATAAATCATATGTAAAGATTATCCAAATAAAATAAACGAGTAAGAAAAATATAAAAAAACAGTTACTTCATAAATGCAACAGTTTCGCGTCATTTGCACTCGCTTTCTTAGTGCAAATTAATATAAAAATAGTAACAAAATTAAATTTTTAGTTCTTTTTAAATAATTTAATTTTAGTAAAAATTGAAAGTGCTATATATAACTTGTATATTAATCATTATGATGTATGTATAAGAATTTATATTCATTTTTTATTTATAAAACATAAAGTTGCTTAAAAGATTTGATAGATATAAAAAATCGATATACATATAATTATAAATATCAGATTTTCTATCTAAAATAGTCAAAAAATTTTACATATTTAAATTGTATAGGAAGATGTAAAACAATCGAATATTTTAAGTAGAAAATCTGATATATGTGATTGTATTGATTTTTCCCGATCCGACAGATTCGTGATCACAGAACCTCTTCAAAATTTGACCGTTCGGAATCGGCGTTAAAATGTAGGTCCCATATGCCTGTGCATCACTTTGTGCATGCACCATAAGCATAGAGTGAGATAAAAACAGACTTTAAGCCTGTTACATAAAGAAGAAAAAAAAGAAAAAATAGATAATATAAATTACAATAAATATCAGATTTTCTATCTAAAATACTCGATTTTACATATTTAAAGTATAATACTGAGTATTTTAGGTAGAAAATCTGACATTCATTGTAATTTATATCGATTCTTTTCTATTTTTTCCTCTTGTAATAAGACTTATAGCCTGTTTTTATCTCACTCTATGTCTATGATGCGCGCGTAAGATGACACACAGGCATAAGGAACATTTTAACCAAAATTTGGCCGGTTCCGAACGGCCAAATTTTAAGGAAGTTCTGTGATCAAGAATATTCTCGTGGTTTTTGCCGAGGAGAGACACAAGCGTGTGAAAATATTTTGGTTCTGCAAAAGTCAAACACCTAGGACCTCTGGCTTGGCAGAGCGGCATGTTGTCTGCCAACCCACGCTCGCTTTCTCTGTTCGATTCTTTCATATCTGTCAAATCTTTTAAACAATATGCTTTATGAATAAAAAAATGGATGTAAATATTTTCGATTGGTGTAATATTGGAAATATTATTATACACATAATACCACGTACACACCTTGTAATTCTTTGTCCAGTCTATCCAGTTCTTTAGCAATATCATCGAACTTGATCGTGGATGCGGCTTCTACGTCAGCCGCCTCAGGCACAGGTAAAGGCAATGGCTCCTCGAAATTATGATCCTTTTCCTGGGACAATTTCGCATTGACGACGTAGTGCAGCAAGGTGACGCCGGGTACGTTGGACTTGACGTCTTTCAGTTTGCCGAGGATTTCTAGGCCGAAGCCGTCAGCCTGGCCGCGCATCATATTTCCGCCGTTCATGTAATTGCCCAAGGTCAGTATGATGGCCATTACTTTCTTCAGAGGCTCGGAATTGATCAGAAAGTCGCAGGTGGTTCGCACGTTGTTCAATTTGTACGAAACCGACGATATCGCGTCTTGGAACTCCGACTGCAACATCAGGCAGGCTATCCTTTCGGAGAAGTGATTTATACCGGACAGTCGTTTGAGAAAGAATTCTGGTTGATCGAGAGGAACGTCCGGAAAAGTTGCTTCGTGAATTGCAATTTCTTCTATTTCCTTTTGCGTCGGTTTCTACAAATCAGAAAAAAAAAATGAAAAAGTTGTGGATTTCGTACGAAAAGCCTGCATTTTTATAATTAGATTTTTATCTCAAGGTTTACTCACAATCTCGTAGATTTGTTGCAATGCTTCTAAACTGATTACACTTGTGTCTAAATTATAGGCCGCATTTTCGATCTCGCTAAAATCAATGTGTAGACTCTTTTCAAGAATTCCCACCATTTTCGAACGCTTCGAATCAAGTATCTTCGCGGGTTGGATCTTGGAACTTTTAGGCGTCCCCTCGCTCTTCTTGGCCGGATTCCTCTCTCTCACTTGCCTCGAAAATAAATCAGCGAATTCTTTCATATTTAAAGTCTCCTCCTCCGTAAGTTCCAACCACAGAGGCACCTAAGATAAGACAGCATTAAAAAAGCCATTCTTGAAGAAATCATTATTTTACTTCATATAGCAAATTTTATTACATTCATACTCCTTGTTTTACCTGGGGTGACAAATCTGAAGCACTATCTACTGGAGGCTGACTGGCCGCAGCAACTGGCACCAAAATCCTCGTCCAGTAAAGTGGCTTCATAGGCACATCAGGATTTAAAGGTTGCTTTCTCATAACTATAAAAGCGAGGCACTTGTGTTACGCGGTGCAAAATCGGCATCCAAAAACCGAGAGGAGTGTACAGCGTACTCTCGATTAACGAAAGGAATTATCGAGAGTACTCTGTACTTTTGAAATCGTGATACCTACTGGCTCTGCTCGGCGGATTCCATCCTCCGACCGGTGGAGCGGGCAGAGGACAGGGTCCCAATGCCCCGGGGGGTGGCGGCGGTGCCATAGGAGGTGGTGGAGGACCCGCACCCGAACCTCCGATGGGAGGCGGAGGTGGCGGAGGTATACCATCCTGCATAGGCGTGCCCGGTGGCGGCGGCGGCGGTGGTGGGCCAGTTCCGGGTAACGGTGGCGGCGGTGGAGGCATCGCGTCGATAGCACCCGCGAGTGATGGTGGCGGAGGAGGAGGCGGCGGCGGTATCCCGCACATGTTCAACATCGGCGTAGGCGGCGGCGGTGGCGGAGGAGGTACGGTGATCATAGACATCTCGCACGTCGCGCTTTGAGGAGGCATAGGTGGCGGCGGCGGAGGAGGTATGCCACTCTCGAGGCTCTGCACCGGTTTGCACGGAAACGCGGACGGAGGCGGCGGCGGTGGAGGAATCATGTTTTGCAGAGGAGACGGCGGAGCTATCGCGCTTATGATGGCTTGCATAGGCGGAGGTGGAGGAATGGGTATCGTACTCGTGGTACTCGGCGTGGGTGGCGGCGGTGATGGGGCGGGCGGCGGGGATGGATATGTGCTTATGGTGCTTTGCGTCGAAAGGGGGGTAGGTGGCGGCGGGGGTGTCGGTATCCTAGGAACGTCCGTCAATTGCGATGATGGAACTGTCCTCTCGCCGGCACGCACCGTTTCGGTGGCGAGCGCGTACGGGGACGGCGGCGGCGGTGGCGGCGGGATAAAAGACGTCGAGACAGATCTGCTCTTCGAGACTGCCTCCGGTGGTAATGGAGGTGGTGGGCACGGCACCAGATTTTCGCTAGGCGCGTTTCCTTGACTACTACGCGATAAGCACGACCGATCGACCTTGTCGATCGACGTGGAGGAAAGCACAGTCATCTTGACTTGTTCGAGATCTGCGACATCACTTCTGATCGTTGACGATCTAACGCTATCTAAGTTGCTCGCCTCACTGGCGTTCCCATCGACCGGTGATATGCTTCTCGGTGATGTCTGAGTAGACTGGCCCCTGGTGCTTATCTGCCGGTCTACAACAGATGTCTCGCGCAGCCGTTTGATCTCATCTTTCAGCTTCGTCACCTCTTCCTCGTACAGATGAATATCCTTTAGCATAGGGTGTTCACAGATTTGGCTCGATTTAGTTTTTCGAACTAAGTTCGAATAAAGTTCATCTGCCAACGCGCAGGTGCCTGTCCGATCTATCTGATTAAAACAAAACATTCCGAAAGTGAGTAATCGTTACAAATGTTGATTGCGGGTCAAATTAAATAGAGATCAAGATCTTACCATGGACGTAAAGTTCTTCTTCGCATCTTTGTCTGGTAGCACAGAAGTCAGACAGACTGGCAGTTCATGTTCTGAAAATTCCATTAATACACGAAATATAAAATTAGCCTTCTTATCAATAACGATAAAAAGCTTAGCAAATAATTTTTCTCGATTAAGCCACAGAATACTTTTGCCCTCTTGAATCTGTCACTTGATGAATCTTTCGCGAGTACAAAATTTCTGGACGAGCAACCGTTTTCTTTCAACTTTAAGCTTTATATGAGCAGAGGCATTTGCCGACGCTTATATCTTTATGAACTTTGTGATCTGTCCTAATTAATGATGCATGTTGTGAAAGCGACGCGCGACTCTTTATCAACATGTAGTTCTTATCTCGTTTTATATTCAAGATGAACGACTCCTTTATGTATACCTTATCTTCTAATCACTTTATCGCTAATGCAATTACTCTAAGAGAATATTATATAAAAATCGTGTCGGTAAACAACGCGTGACGTATGTAAAACTCTGGACATTTCTGCAAACGCTCAAACTCCTTGCAACGTCGCGGATTGAAAAAAAAAAGGGAACTCTTCAAGGACCCCGTTTGGGAAATCGTCAGTGTCATCTACGCACTGGTCATCGAAATTGCAATTTCAAAAATTACAAATTAAAATATTACGCTGTTTTAAACATATCTTTTCAACCACGACGTTGACTCACACGTACGCGCAAATAAACACACTCTCGTCTCCTTCCCGCGATCACTCTTCGATCTCGCGTCCATTCGAATTACGATGTCCGACACTCGCTCATCCCGCGACCGTCTCGCAGATTTTATTTCCGCCCCGGATATTTTGCCGCGCGCCGCTCCGCAAGTAACTACCGCATCTCGCTCGGCGAACAGGCACGGGAAACACGAGAGAATCCGAACTGAACCCTGCGAACCGCCCCATCGATAAGACTTATCGGCGAACAAGCGCGTGTTTGATTCGCGCGTATCACTCGCTGTAACCTCGGGCTACGAATGATTATTTGGAGGCCGTGTTTTAAAAAACACCTAATCGACGCCGCCGACGATGAAAGAGGCTGATTGTCCTTATCGTCGTGTTCCACCTTAATTGCCGATCATCACGATCGTGACGATTATCGTTATCCATCAGTCTTACAAGCGGTCGCGATTTTTCGCGAACCGCTTTGGCGCATTGCGTCACCGCGCGAGCAAAAGGTACGCCGCCGCTGCCGCGTATTTACTCATCGCAACGTTATCGCGCGCCTTCTCTTCCGTCACGAGATAAGACTCGCGTTAGACTCGCAATCGTCAATGCGTGACGACTTCTAGGTCGTACGCTGACCTGCAAGTGTAGTCGTTATAAAAGTAGTTCTATCTTGGAAATGCCTCGTCATTTTTTATGCCCCGGATTCGCGAGAATCCGAAGCCGTAGAGAGCCTACATCTTACGTGCATGTTTTCCGCTTTCGAAAAGCTCTCTGCTATCATTTCTCTTAAGAAAAGATTAAATCATAAAAAAATTGCGACACACATGTCTCGTCTCAAACGATCCCTCATCTCGATCGCGCGTTTCTCTCACCTTCGGATTGCTTGTGGCGATCCGTCCTCTGATAAACGATACTCTTGGAACTTTTTCTTTTCTTGGCGCTACTTCGATCCAAGGTCAAGCTGGCCACTCTTCTCAGCACTCTACCTCTGCTCGTGGGAAGCTCGCAGACACTGTGTCGCCTCTGCGGAGTACGTGGACTCGGTTCCGATATTGCACTCTTCTCGCTCGACGTTACGCCTAAAAATGAAATATTTTCGTTTGAGAGACGTCGATGAAACCGGAGCTTGAGTGAGTCATGTTGACTTATTGTTAAGTCCAATGTGCACGCACCACACTCGTTTCACACAATACCACACCTATTCAAGGTATACACGATTTGTACCGATGACATCGCAAATCTATGTTGTTAACTGCACGAACTTATAACCACGTTACACAGACTGTTACACGCGTTTTGCATAACCATTTTACATAAGCCATCGTCAACTTACTCAGTTTTTTAATAGCGCAGTTAATTGCTCGGAAAAATTACGTAAAAACGCGATGCTTGTTCAAAATAACGAAATTAATGAAATTATCCTCACTTCGGGGACTCATCACTGAGAGATGGATCTTCTTGTGCTTCGAGATCGTGAACGAAGCTTTCTCTTCCTTGCCGTCGATCGTCTCCGGAATCGGTTTACGTTTCACTACTTCCGGTCTCGTGGCCGCCGTGACCGGACTCATGGTGAGCTCGCCGGGATCGGTGAAGACGCTGTCGCTGGAGGACTCCTGGCTCGGCGGCGTCGGCATTTCCGTCACGACCAGGCCCTTGTTCGCCAAACGCCACGAATCGGTCACCAGCAGTGGTGGCAGCTGGGTCGTCTGCGGTGTCGTCGGCGTCTGGCCTGGCGTCGTCGTCGACGCCGTGGTACTCGAGCGAAAAGACTCCGTCGTCGTTACGCATGGCTTCGCCGTTGTTGCAGTATCCTTGCGACATTCAGGCTCTACACTCTCCTGCGTGTCCTAATTACACAAAATGATTTTACACTACGACTCACTCAAGTCAAGGTGCTGTAGCATTCTTTTTTTTCTATCGTACGATCAGAGACATTTCGATTTTTCCGATTTGCATTTCTCGCGAGAAATTACAGATTAATTACATCTTTGTTCTTTAGTACTTATTTCAGTATGTTAAACTGTATATACGAGATAACCTTGCCTTTGAAGAGACCTTTATCCAATCGATAATTTGCTAATTCATCTTGACAGAAAAAAATGCGGTACCAAATACCTTGGGTAACACCACTATCGGTGGCGGCGGCGGTGCCTGTCTCTTGCCCGGCGTGTGCACCTTCTCGAAGCTGATCTTGATCGGCTCGCGATGCTCATCGCGTCTCTTCGGAACTTCGGGCGGTTGGTCCCGCTTCTCCTTCTTCTGGTCCTCCTTCTTCTGGTCCTCCTTCTTCTGGTCCTCGGTCGCCTCGGGCTCCGCGATGACGTCCGTGGACGCGGACGCGGACGTCGGCACCGGCGGCGCAGCCTCCTTCTTCTTCTGCTTCTTCTTGCTGTCGCTCTGTAGATTACCCATCGTGCTGGGCAGTTGTGGCAGGCCTTCTAGGTTGCCCCAGTAGAGCAGACGGATGTTGTTGACCCAGAGATGGAAGAAGTCCGACAGCTTTGATCGCGGCGGCCGCGCCTGGGCCGCGGCTGCGCCTTGACCATGGCGGGCCTGCATCCGTGGTCGATAATCGGGAGCTGCGACACCCGCGATCACGGCGTCGTCGTTCAGACGCTCTCGCCGCGCGTCGACCGCTGCGAAAGCAAACACGAGGGGTTGTCACTACCTTGCAAATTTTTCCGATTCGCTCGGTGACTTGAACTCAATAATACGATTACGCATCTGAGACCATCTTAATTAAGCTTAATTAAGCTGACTTAGCAGTAGTTCTATAGTTAACTAAATTTTCGTATATAGCAAATAAAATCATATCTTGAAATCTTACATTAGGATTAATTAGAGATTAATTAATTAAAGTAGAAAATTAATTTAATTAATCGTTTCACCTTATACCTTGTATTTCACTCGGATTGCGCATGATCTTAAAATTAAAGACATGAATAATAAACAGCAATCTACGTAAATCGCTTACAAAAAATGTATAAGTAATAAAACAACAATAACTTCAAGCCGCTGTGTAAATAAATAGCAATCTATATTTCAATGTCGCATTAACGTTTGAGTGTACTCTTCGGTGCTTCATAAATTAAGTAAATGTCAAGATCAGATCAGCACTAAATGAGCGACGAGATCTTGAATATTTAAAGCAATACTCACACATATGCGGAACAAGAATAAGAAGGGAAATGTGAACTGACGTTGTGTCTGACAATGAGTCAAATAGACCTTGAATTACCTCGATAAACTGAATATTTCTTGGATATCGTTGCGTAATCGGATATTGACAGTGCCAATATTAATAACCTTTATGTCATACGCGGTAACCAAGCGATACGGCGGCGGCGCGCGGCGTGTGCTATCGTCTGAGCACTGACTGTGAATGTGCCCGTATAACACGACAACGACATCGATCTGTTATTACCGGGGCACGTTGGTGTCATTGGCAACTATTATTATCTTGAACTCTTGGGATTGATCGGACAATTTTTCTATGGTACGGGGGAAAAATGAAAGCAAAAACTTTTACACGGATTTAATTGCGTCGCGATCATATTACTATAATAATATCGCAATTTCTTTTTCGAGATGAGATATATGAAAGAGTACGAAATTTTCGCATAGTATCCAAAATGATCAATGATAAAGGATCGTAAAATCTACCGTCAATTATAATAATACATTCTCTATGTATTCAGCAGTATTGGAATTGGTTGAATACGGGTCTTTGTGTCGCGAGCGAAATAAAACTATGTGTCGATAGCTTACAACGATACGTACGAGTAGTATGATGCATAGATAAAGTCTGGACTATAGGATACGTCCGAAATCCGGGCATTTGTCGACGATAACTTTTCCGGTGAAGAAACGAGACTTCCCGGATATTCCTGAAATTTTTCGCGTCTTGATTCATAGAAGAGTCGTCGCACAAAACTGATCTCTTGTAAGATTTACGCTCGGATTATCAGCATATGCGCGAGCAGAATGCCGTGTGTCGCGGAATGCAAAGATATTTTTCTCGATACAGCACTTATTTCGATTTCGTGGCCAATAAATCTGTTATATCTTCTCGCTTATATCGACGTTATTCTTCTTGAAATCAGCTTCTATTTTGCGTCGTGTCGTGCATTAGTGCTCGATAATTGTATAGAATATTAATAAATATATTTAATAAACAAAATTTTCTTTTCTTCCTCACACACGAAAGATACACATAACGTTTCTGAAGCACCAAAACTACGAGATTAAGACTTCGGAGTAGAGATTCGATGCGCCACGTGGTGACGTCGGTCACGCGACTAGAATGTGGTACCTATATTACCATTGGTGCCTATATTCGCACTGTTGCCTATTATGCCTCGGAAAATCAATTTCGGGGGATACTTCAAGGACAAGAAATAATACAGACATTCTTCGTTCTATATAGTGAGTCGAGGACAGTTTTCAATCAAAAGTTGTTATGTGCGCAGCACCTTTAGTGAATTACGATTAAGACAAAATTAATCAATCACGATCAGACAATTAATCTATTTTTAATTAAAAACTTTCAGTAAGCTCTTTGAATATTTCACCGTCGATCTTGCAGATTTGCGATCTTCATAATTAATCATTTTGGAGCATTTATTATATTATAAATTAAAATAAAGTTCTAATATATAAAAAAGACTTTTATTTTATTTTACACTCGACAAAATAAAGGAAAAAAAATTTAATTATCACGTATCTGAACATGTAAAAATAGTATACTTACAATTAACAGATATACGGACATTCCATTAAAGGAATATTTAACCGACCAAATTTTGTTCATCGACATCATTTATAATACCCGATACTCGCGGGACCGAGAACGCGGGAAAGCTCGATGATGTTGGTGCCGTGCAGCACTAGTTCCGTATAACGTTATTACAATCATAACGAATTAAAATCACTGTCAGAATTTCGAAGATTACGAGCATGCTCGGTAAGAGCCTCGGCGCGTCAGAGCGGCTACATATCAACGTTAGAAGCGTGCCGTATAATTCGGCGCGACGGAGGGAGGAGAGCGTTGCGCGTCTCGATCTCTCCCCCGTGCTCCTGTACTCCCTTACCTGATTTTCTCACGTTTCGACAGCAACGTCAGCATGTTACGCGTTGCACCGTGCGGTTCGCGCGTGCCACTGGAAACTCGCATCTCGCCCTTTATCGATTGTTCACGGCGACGTGCCGTCCCGCGCATTTTTCACCGGCTCGCTTGCGCCGCGACTGTAAAATATCGCCCTCGGTTTCCGAGGGAAACGCGCGGGGGATATCGCACAGGGTGAAAAGCGTTTCGAGCGTTTTATCGAGCATGCACCCGAGGTGGGAGTACAGAGAGAGGCCCGAACGGACGGCGCAAGCTCGCGCCATCGAGCCCCGCGAGGTCGATGTCTCGATGGTGAGGTCGACGCGGAGGTGCAACGGCCACCTCTCGATAGTACGTAACCCGTCGTGATATAAATCGCACGCGGGAATCTGGGATCCGATTCTCCATAAATTCCTGTTTGGATACGCTGAACTTTTGCCCAGAAAATATATCGAAGCGTAAACGCTCGAGATACCACGAACGTTATGATTAAAAGATATAAACTGAAAAAGAAGAAAAGAAAATTTATTCAAGAAATCTCCTTCTTTTTTGCAACCTTCGCAAAGCGAAAGAAAACGCGATTGCAGTTTCCTGAGTCGACTCGCGAAATGTACGTAAGCGAAATGAGGAAAAAATCAAAGGCACGGAGGATCGTCGCTTCATCGTTTATTTTATATTGCAACATAAAATTTGTACAAATAATAATTCATTATAATATCATAACTATGATGGGTATTAATTAATATACGAATCTCTCTCTCGTGGATATGCAACGCGTGCACGCACGTGCGCGCGACGCGACGCTGTTAATTAAATATTGCGAGCAGCCGCGCGTGCAGCAGGCACGTGGCACGCGGTGCGTGACGGATCGTCGCGGATCGGCACCGGCGATCGACGCGAAACCGATCCCGATCGGCCGAGAGGCCGACGGAATCTCCTCCGTGAGGATCCGATGTCGTCCCGACTGGCATCCGGCACTCATAGGCATTCCGTTTTTTTTTTCCGCTCGAGACACGCACGGCTCTTCCGGTCCGTTTCCCGGATACGCGTATCCGACTCGTGCGCGTGGACAACTTCGAATGAGATAAATCGATCGTCTCTCGTTTCACATATCGGAGGGTGGGGGAAGGGACTATTTAATTAGTTTAGAGAAACGTACGTCCTCGTATTTACAGCTACTTCGGCGAGCGACGCTTATTCGAGGGGAAACTCTACACAACTTGTTAGCTGCTCGTCCTCGTTACAATCATCTTCTTATAACGTAACATTTTCATTTTTTCTTGTTTTCGTTTTTTTTTTCCATAACGCATGCATATCCGCACACTCACATTCACACATGCACGGCACTCACCTCCTCACACTATCACACTCTATTTCTCCTCGCTCGTATGTACTATGTACAAAATCTCAGGGTAATTCTCGTTCTTCTCCGCGCGTAAGGTAGCGAAAATCGATCGAAACACGGTCTTGTTGGCGTTTCCTGAAATTTATTTAACCCTACATACGCGTGTTTAACGTACATTGTACCCTCTACGATTTTTCGTTGTGCAAAAATATGTCGACTACTTTTTCTCCGTTTCCGTTTTCCGTACCGCCTGTCCCGCCCTGCCACATTCCGGCAGCTCGCACCCCTCTCTCTCTCTCTCTCTCTCGTCGTATATCGCGCGGCGTAGAATTTACATGGCATCCAAATCGAGGTGGCATTGCCGCCGGTGAATGCATCCGTGTCCCTTGAGTAATTGTGCCAAAACGAATAGATTCCGTTTATCTTGAATAGGTATCGGCGCGTCTCGAGACGCGGCACGTCTCCTGCGTAACGTCTAACATCAACTTTCGCTCTATATGAAAGACATGGAAGTAGGAGATTTCCAGCGTGTGTTCCTTCGTACAGCGGTCATACATATCGGTAAAATTACCAAGGAGCGATAAAACAAAATGTAACGTAGGGCAGACCGTGGCGAATATTGGATCAATATAAGTTTCGAAACAGAAAATTATCGATAACTGTTTTAAAATTTACATTGACCCGATTCACCTCGGTTTACCCTAACGCGAGGAAGTGAAAGGAATTTATGTAAATCTAATAATAAACGCCTAATTAAACGTGAATCGAGATGAATCGAGACGAAAAGAGATTGGGGAAAAAAGATAGAGCGTATATAATTAGTAAAGTGCATTTGCAAAAGACCGAACGAACAAGAGGAAGAGATCAAATATTTATTTTTTTTTTCACGCGTAAAACGGAATATTTCAATATTGGATAGCGTATTTAGCGAAGTCAGTAAAAGCGAATTCTCTCGCAGAGAAGATACGTCAGAGAGGAAAATCGGGACGAATAGTAAAAAAAGGAGAAATAAGAAAAAAAATATTACCGCCGTGCGCGGGGCAGTAATGGCCTGACCGACCTCTCACGCTTGATAAATACCGTATTTCATTAGCGAAGTAATCAGCGAAGAAGATTACGTCCAACAAGACTCGTTACGATCGCGTTGTACGTGCAGCACGACATCGTTTTCGGTGGAATACACTTAAAGTATTTGTGTGTTTCTCTCTTTCTCTCTCTTTCTCTCCCCTAATTGCGCCCTACCTAATCGTCGTGGGGTACATCGAGACTAATGGCCACACAGAGCCGCGCAGTGTGTTGTATGTCGATCCGCAATAGACGCGGACGCGCAATCGCAACGGTCGAGACGCGATCGTCCGACCGCGAATGTCTCTCGCGAGATTGCATTATACGAGCAAAATGAGATCACAAACGATATGCGAACGAACGAACGAACGCGCGGCCAAGTCGTTTGCCGTCCCTCTCGCAGAATCGCAGAAGACGACGACAAAACGTGCGGGGATAAACGTGGGGTCGCATGAGCGCGGAGAAACGCGACCGGCGAAATTTTCGCAAAGAGACGAAGAACAGCAAAACTGTGCTGGGCTCAAACCGGATGGACGTTCGTTTTGTTTCAACGGTGGAAACTGTTGAGACGAGCATTTTATAATTTATCGCGCTTATACAGAGCGTTCGTAAAAATATACGACAGAAAGTGGAACATATACTACACTGGCACGTAATACAATGTCGTAATCGATCATTTTAATACGTCGTCAGTTAAATGCAGTACGGCGCTCTCTTTTGTTATATTTTTACGTCTATAGCGCGAGCGAGGGGAAGGGAAACGAAACTTTGCCGGCGCGTTCGATCGACGATACAAAAATAAAATAAAATAAAAAGAAGAGATACATATTTATATATAAATGAAAGGAAACGGGTGGAAGGGGGGAAGGGAGGGGATACAAAAATTCAACAAAAGGCGCCGCGCACGTAATCTCTACACGTCGCGTACAACTATGAAACAGTGTGACGCGTAGAATTCGCACGAACGTAAAAAAAAAAGAGGAGAGTGTGTGTATACATTTAGAGTCTATCGTTAGTCCGAAGTGTCGCCGGGCTGAAACAGCGAAATTCGTCGTCGAGATTTCGTTTCGGCTTCTCTCGATACCGAGAGTTCGCCGCCATCCAACTCGTGACTCGCGGAGCGGCGCGAATGCAATTATAGATCGTCGCGGGGCTCCTTTTATCATTTGTGTTAAGTACATCAGGGAACTCGCTCAATTTTATTTACAGCTGCGTGATGAACACCTCAATGCGCCATCGCCTTCCCGGACAACGCCGAGCGAGAGACCAAGACATTCCCCAGCCCTTACAGAAATTCAATTTAATTGCGAGAAATTACTTATTTATTAAAAGCACCGAACATTTGTTTTCAATGCTTTTAATACTGAAAATAAGTAATCAATTGCTTATACCTTTCGGTATTAAAATTTTTGTAAGGAAGAGGCACAGCTCGAACCGTCCGGATTGTCCGGGTTGTCTCCGTCACGAGGTAGATAACGTTCGAATTGATCGTCTCGCCGATTTCAGCCCGATCGCCCGCACGACGCGGCCGATCTCGATAAAAAATAATAATAATAATAAAAAAAGAAAACAGTCACTCATGCGAAAGAATACATCTCTTACTTATAAACGCCTACGGCTAGTACTTACAAAACCGGTGGCGTTAGTCGCCCCGCGGTCGAGATATATTTATGTAATAGCTCCGATCGGCGCGGCCACGATAAACCGCGATCGCTTGTCGCTTCGAAGAGACGGCGCATCACCCTCTCACACACATACACACTCACACGCTCGTGTATATAAAAGTATAAAATGCATCGAACGCCGCGTCGAGTCTTCAACCGATAGACGTAG